ATTTGTTGAAGTAACTATTATGACAATTGGGTTGGTATTTGCTTATTGAAAATCTTCACCTATCTCTTCAGAAAATTTTCCCCATAATGTAATGTCAATTGCTTCTCTGCAATTAATATTAGTGTGAGTTATTTAAAGTGGAAGAAGAACATAAAAACATTAACAAAAGAACTTACTCTGCCATTTGCAATTTAGTGTGAGTTATTTAAAGTGGAAGAAGAACATAAAAACATTAACAAAAGAACTTACTCTGCCATTTGCAATTTGATGTCTCTTTTTTTAGTCTTTGTTGATTTGATCTCTTCAATTTCTCCTATTGCATTCAAAACTCCAGTGATATCTGCATATAATTTATCATATTTGATGTACAACGATATTTCTCACGCATTTAAAATACAAATATTCAAATTAACTATACTTGATAATAACCTTGTATCATTTGTTCTAGTATGAAGATCATGAAGACTAGCAAATTCAATTTTATATCTTGGAATAACAATTCTCGGTTCTTTTATATCTTACACATTCGTGATCGTGAGAAATTGTATATGGTATATACCGTCAACAATTCTATTAAGAGGGAGCAGATGGTATGACTTTTATATGTTTGATAAAATATATCAACCCTTCATGAAGCTGATTTTTAAACTTTGCAATCCTATTCTTTGTATATGGTATATACCGTCAACATGATTTTGATTGATCAAACCAATGAAAATCACAAATTTAAACAAACTTGTATAAATCAGAAATAAAAGTCTTAACATTACTTTCAGACTATATTTTATACCTGTTGATCAATCAAAATCATGTCAAGACTCATAAGTTCGTCACCCATTCTGAAATTCGTACATTCCCACAATCTAGATACTCTGACAGTGACTATCTAATCATCTCTTGATTCATCAATATCTTTAAGCAAATTATTAGACATTGTTATGACTTGCCTATAAAAAGAAATTCATCTTTAGTACAATGACAGTTTGTTTATTATAATTCATTCGCATAAAATACCATGATTAAGAAACCACACCTTTGATATATTGAATAAATTACAGCACAGCAAATGGTTTATTACAATCCAAATCATAAACTTTATCGTTTATAAACTGATACTGAAATTTTCAACTGAAAGAAATATCGAGCTGCTTCAATTTTTTTATTAATATTATAGTCTGATAGCTTGGCTGATATCAACTCAAAGAGACATTAAGCCATTTCATTTTTTATTAATATTATAGTTCGACGTCTTTAAAAAATTGTCTAACGAATTGTATAGAATCCGTTGCCTAACCACTATTCATAATTATGATTGTTTGAAGTTTGCTGCGATCGATAACTTCACTATCAAACCATCAATTTGGCTATAGAATGGTAATAGAGCAAATACCGATCAATAATTTATCCATGATTTAAGGATGGTTGGAATTTCGATAGATCAAGGTATCATTGAGGTCTACATTCCATTGCCGAACCATAATCAGGATGTAATTAGTTGCATTTATAATTTGTTATAACTTTTCTATGAACACTGCTAAACCATGAATTTGAATACTTATCGACAATTTAAGGATAGTCAGAATTTGGATACCTTGATCTATCAGAATTCCATAGTACAATAATGATCGAACCTAACAATTCCATCTATTCCTATATTAGTTAGTCCCAGGTTATTTTTTATAATTATATTAAGTATTAGGCAGCATGCTTGATACCAACTCAGAGAGACATTAAGCCACTTCATTTTTTATTAATATTATAGTTCGGCATCTTTAAAAAATTGTCTAACGAATTATATGAAATCTGTTGCGTAACCATTATCCATAATTATGATTGTTCATAGTCTATTGCAGTCAATAACTTCACTGTCAAACCATCAATTTGGCTATAGAATGGTAATAGGGCAAATACCGATCCATAATTTATCCATGATTTAAGGATGGTTAGAATTTGGATAGATCAAGGTATCATGGAGGTCTACATTCCATTACCAAACCATTATCAAGATATGATTAGTTGCGTTTATAATTTGTTATAACTTTCTAGGAACACTGTTAAACCATGAATTCGAATACTTATCCATGATTTAAGGGTGGTCAGAATTTGTATACCTTGGTCTATCAGAATTCCATATTACAATAATGATCAAAAACAATTCCATATGTTCCTATATTGGTCACTCTCGAGTTATTTTTTATAATCAAATTAAGTATTAGGCGGTGAGATTTTGAAATAAATAACACATTGATTTAAGAAGAATAAAATTTTATTGGCGTAAGTTCAAAAGAAATGATAGTAAATATTTTGTTAAACTTGCAATTTAGAAAACATTATAAGGATGTCAAAATGGTTAGACTTTTAGGATGCCAATACAATGCAAACATACCAACAAAAGAAGTAAAAAATCGTCATCCATAATTGGGTGACATGATTTGTTTGGCAATTTGTTTGTTAAAATTCATTGGCATAAAATATCATGGTCCAGAAAGCACACCTTTGATATATTGTCTAAATATTAATAAATACATAGATGATTGGGATACATACAGTTGAGTATCTCAAAATCACCGTATATTGACTACAACCAACAAATCTTTACATCATCAAACGTCAAACCGCAAATATTCATACATCTAAAATCACTTGTATGATAGCAACCATCACAACCCAGCAACACCGAACCCAGAATAATCAAATCTCTGAATCACCATCACTATCATGCCGGGATACTAACCATGACACTCTTACAGCACAAATCATTGACATCTATAATGACTAAATATGATACAATAACATACCATAACATTCCATCTATAAATCACAAAATCGAACCTCAACTACTATCGGATTATGCTACTCTATGACAACAATTCATCAAGCAACACGATTTGATAATATAAGTTGAGGGTCGATCATGTCACCTAAAAACAGAGTTAGCAAAATCAATATTCATACAAGCTTTGTTAACATGAAACAATCCATAAATGTTTCATGTAGCTCAGTCTCAAAACAAATACTTACATATCAGCTGGAACAAATAGATAGTATGGTCGAAAAAACGTTGCTTAATCTTTTGACAAAATACAATCCATGAACATTTGATGTTACTCAACATCAAAAATAAAGAGAAAAACTAATTACCCCTCATATGAACATACCGATAACAAATACTCATTGTTCGACTGAAACTGTAACCTGAGAATGAAATCAGCAAACATCAATGAATACATAATTCACACTGATCGATTGCAACCATAAACATACTGAATCAACGACCTTACCAAAGACATAATAAACACAAGTTGGTACAGAGCATGCTTACCATTGTATGAGCACGTCAACTTTTTTCCTTGTACCTTGAAAACGAAATCAACAAAATCAGCGAATTCATATTTTATACCGATCGATTGGCAAAAGAAACATACCGAATCAATAACTCTACCAAAGACATAATAAACACAAATCCTTATTTCCTTGAAAACAAATATAACAAAATTTAATTGATCTTCATGTTAAGATTGTTGAAGAACAATTATCTATTTGTATAAAAACTGGTACTTGAAAACGGAAACAACAAAAGTTAATTAATCTTCATATTAAAATTGTCAAAGAACACACTTACCGTTCGGAAGGACTAACAATTAATTATTCAAATAAATTGACCAAACAAAAACAATCATTCAATCAAACAATAACCTTTAAAATATTTAGAAGATATACATACAGTTTAGCATTAAAATAGCTAGAAGATATACTTACAGTTCAGAAGAATAAATCAAAATAACCACTCATCTGATAGTGTCAATTGAACATCCTGCCTTTTTTACATGCCAATTCATGAATCTTTGACCTGTAAACAACAACAAAAACATAAATAAATAAAAAATCATTGATTATCAAAATCATGAAGAACAAACATATTATTAAGACAAACTAAAATGGCCTATAAACAATTAACAAAAGACCAGACATATTGTTGACACCAACTAACAAATTGCGATGATACACAACTGATCATGCGCTCCTTTTATAACCCCTTATTTAGACCTTCTGAATGCCAATGCAATTAAATACGAATTGAATACGAAAAAAAGTTTCCAATGTCAATACAATGCACCTATATAATTTATAATAGTAATCTTAGACAGATGTCATTAAACCACAATTAAAAATAGTAATTCAATACACATGTATACTTGTTATTAATACACATCTTTAGAATGCCAATGCAATGCACCTTATTATTATTATTATTATTATTATTATTATTATTATTAATTAATTAATTAATTAATTAATGCAAATCCCATTTTTTAATTAATTATTAATTATAGATTAAGCAATAAATACAAACCCAACGTGTCCAGACATGTCAAGATGGAGCAATTTGATTGGCCTTATTAAACCACAAATCCTAGTTGTCAATCCATTGACATCAAAATGAAACAATTCTAGAACTTCCAAAATGTGTCATGCATCGATCAACCAAAATGAGTATTCAGCTTTATATATATATATATATATATATATATATAACTTGATATATTATTATATACTAAAATTATTTTTGATAAATTAATACTAGAAAACTCTCTTACATTTTCTTAACCAAATAATTAAAAAGAAAAAAACTTTATTTGTCTAAACTCTACTTTAATAAACTTTTCTTTCGTAGACGAAGTCTAATAGATAAACTCTTCTTCAATAAACTATACTCGAATAAATACTAAATGGACCATAGTTTGTTTACATTTCTAATTATGATTAGTTTGCAAAATGCACATGTTGCCTTAAAACCTTCTTGAAAAGGAAAATTGTGCAAAAAAGTGGGGAAAATGTCAAGCTAATCGTAAAAATGACCCCAAATATGGAAAGTTCAAAACCAGGAAATAGACTATCCACATATATCTTTGATGCCCAAATAATAAGATGACTAAACAATCAAGGAGTAATTGACACGAAAAAACCACCACTGAATGTATCAAGCTCGGATAATAGATTGAATAGGCAATCACAAAAGGCTCTTAAACTTTCATTAATAAAAATAATCATCGAAAACTGCCCTATTACAGCTATAACAGCCTTTTTATAGTTTGCCCTAATAAAAAAACCTAGAAAAAGAACATTAAACTATTACTCAAAAGGTCCCAAAACATTCCACAAGTTGCAAAGAAACCCAAAAAACTCTAGAAGTTTGCAAACACACCACTTCAAAACATAAAAAACGCCTAAAAACCCATCTAAATGATTCCAAAAGGCTAAAAAATGACAAAACTCATGACTCCGCCACAAGCCTAACTTATTTGACCGTTTCAGAGTGCCACGCTAAAATTAATCGCATTCTGACATCGTCGGCACTATTCAGCACTGCTCACTGTTCATATGACAATGTTTATCACTGTTCATATGACACTGTTCATCTCTGTTCATTACTGCATCAATCTTGACTCCCAATTGCAAAAGCCCAATGCAGAACACAAGAACTTCTTTGATTCTCAGGGAACTATAATGAATAATGATGCCTTCATATTGACACATAAGAGTTACACACTTTTTTCCAAGGGGTACAACTACAAGAAGAGTGATACCAAGATCAACTTATTCAGTCCAGATAAATTTTAACATTGATTCCATTATCGATGAGGGACTGAACCACAGCTCTAATCTTTCCTTCAAATTTGTCCCTCTCCCTGGGAGTATAAGAGGCAGTGTACACATCTGCTTCTCTTGCCCTGTCAGCAAGAATCCGGCCTACAGCCAAACATGCAGGTATATCTGATCGCGACTTGAGGACTGCTTTAATGTCTTTAGAGTTGGTGCCTGCGACTGCAACCTGCTTACTTGTCACCCTATGAGTGAGTGAGGCTGAAACAAAGCGCTTTGAGATGAATACGTCAAGGGTAAATGGTTCCATATATGCTCCGGTGCGGTTCTTGAATGAAATGTGCTTGGTTGTATTCTTTGACTTCTTCTCTTTCTTGTAAGTGTATGGCCGACTGTTGTCATCATCAAGAAAATCCTCTACCCCGAAAAAGCTCCTCGGTGCACAACGAAACTGTAAATCAATAAATACTAAGCAATTAGGTTAAAAAAAAAAAAAAAAGAGATCTTTCAAAGTTCTTATATTAGGCAATTAATATCTCATCATTGGAGCTCAAAAAAAGCCTAGGACATTTAGAGTATTTAGTAAGGGTATGTTTCGGCCAAAAGAAAGTTATATCAAGAGTCAATAATCTGGCATATATGGATGGCCAAGTAACCAGTATAAACACTTAAAATATGCTGATGTTAATCATAGTTTCCTTTTAATTACTCAATACAGAAAAACTGTCTGGAAACATCAACATTATGTATAAAAACATCAAATTTCAGCTTATTTTGAAACTTTGAACCTCTTGGCTCCCTGAACTGCATTCAAAATCCACAAACTCATGCAAATAAATCCAGGGCATCTCAATACTAATCCTAAAGAAATTTCAGATTCTAGCCAACCACATCCACAACATCTCAATCAAAATTCAAAATTTTTCCAAATTGATACATGATATAATATGATCCAAAGCACGGGCCAAGCCAAAATGCACAAAGTAAAAGCAAATACTGGGAAAATTCACAACTGATAAAACACCTGACTTTTAACGAAATCAAAATACGAAATGGAATAGGCAATTAAATAGCATTACTTGGAAAACTATTACCTGTCCTTGGTGCAAACCAACAGTGCGTACATAAAAGCAAGGCCTAATAATCTTTTCTCCACCGTTTGCAACAATCCCTTTGTTTAAAACCTTGCCCACTGCTTGCTTCCACATATCTCTGATTGATTTTCACTTTTAAACAGAACAAACACCCAAAAAAAAAAAAATTTATATCAAACACATAACGTGCATTATGTAACACCTAGTTTTGATTTGAAGAAGCTTCATTTAAACTGTTAATGTGTTTATATCTGTATCTAATTTAACTGGCTCCCACTAATACACTATATTTAAGTAAACGAACTTTTTCAAGCAAGAAACAGAGGCGAAACTGAAAGTAAAGAGAAAATATCTACAAATAGAATCAGAACAGAAATTGAAAATTTCTTAAACAATAATGAGATAAAGAGCTCCATCAGAGCAACACTTCAGTAAATTTTTTTTTATTAAAAAAATTACAAATGCTTGATATCTAGAGAAAGAGAGAGTACCTTTGCAGAGTCTCGTAGAAAGAGAGTGGAGAGGATACAAATTGGGAACAGAGAGAGAAAACGGTTTCGTTTAACAGAGAAAGAGGAAAACGGCATCGTTCTTAAAAAAAAGAGGGAGAAAAGAAGGGTGTAGTTTTCTTTGGTTTCGTCAAGGCCCAAAAATAAAACATAAAAATAATAGGGGCATTCCGAGAATCGAACTCGGGACCTCTCGCACCCAAAGCGAGAATCATACCACTAGACCAAATGCCCACTACCTTGAAGGTTCCGTTTTTATTTGAAATTTAAGTTACTTAGGCTGCGGGAGCTTTAAATCATAAGTTAGTCCCACAAATGAGTTAGCTGAAGATCCTTTTATATCTATGAATTTTTATGTAGTTGTTCCACGGTTGTAAAAAGAATACATCTACAATAAGTTTATAACTACATACAATATTTGCTTCCTCAATATCATAAACTTGTAGAATCAGTAATGCTTGAGATGCAAATATGGGCGTTTAAAATTATCCATTAACTGAATCGAACATGGTAATCTAACCAAATTTTTTGAGAATCTGAAAATTCAGGTTGAATTCAAATTATATATTTTTAGGTGTCCGAATATTCAGTTTGAATACCAATTTGATTCTTAAAAAAATTGAGTAGTCGAACCCGACTCGGATTGTTAAACAAAATTGAAATAAAAAAAAAAAACATTTTTTGCAAAAATCCCAAATCAAATAACCTAACCCTAAAATCTGAAATCTACTTCTTCTATTCATTAGCCATCCCTACTTGTCGCTCCAGCTGTCATCCTTCTATCGTTGTGGCGCTCCAACCGGTGGCAGCATCTTGTCACCTCACTACCTCAGCCCTCCTTCATCCAATCGTCACTCTTTGAAAAGGTAAGTACAATCGTTGCTTGGTTGTACATTTAACTACTTCATGAGATTTGCACTCTAATTTGCACTCCACATTCGTCCGATCAAGGTTTTTCGAACTTGAAGTTGTATCAATGAATTTCAAATAAGCTAGTCAAGAGTGAAAGACCAAGACCCCAAATTGATGACATCCAAATCAACTTGGTTTTGGATAATAATCATTTCCATGATTAAGTTCTTGAGGAATCTTCATCATTTAATGGAGAAGCAACCTGAGTGTTTTGAAAACCCTTTTTTTTTGGGTGAACAACTCACATTTGTTTATCACCAACCATTTAATGTATTGAATTATATAAAGAAAAAGAGAGAGATAGAGGTGGACATATATGTGCACAGAGTAATCAAAAACTTAAAAGGTTTTCACGTTGAGCACAAGTAAATCACTAAACTAATCTTTTCCTCTCGCATCTCTCACAAATTCGAGTTAATATTCTAGTTCCCTTGAACCAAAAATTCAGGTACCCGCAAAATCGAGTATTCCATAAACCAATTCGATTACCAAATAACCTTAGAGCATGACCCAAACATTCGGGTCGGATCAGAAAAGGTCAAAATCGGACCCCTAGTTGCAAGGGGAAATTGTTTCAATAAAAAAATAGGAAATTGTTTCAATAAAAAAATAAAATGAACATTTTCTCTTCCCAATTAAACATCTTTTCTTGGAACATATAAGTTAAGCCAAAAATGGTTTCCATTTAACCCATCCCGAAACTTCTCTTATCAAAGCAATGAGTAAAATCTGAAACGCTAATATAATAAGAGATCACAAACTATGCAAAATAAATAGCAAACTGTTAGTTCCTGTGCAAAATACCAGAATGATCACGGCAAATTCTATTAAAATTCCAGAGAAACTAATTCATCATCTAAGAGACCACATGAAATCCAGCCCACAAAAGGAAAATAATGGTTAAGGCCATATATGCTTTCAGATGAAAAAGACTATTGATTCTTGTCAACTTGCATCTTGATTCATTTCGATTCTTTTTCACATGAACCAATCTAACAAAAGCTCAAGACTACACCAAGGTGAGATGGGAAAAGGACAGTTTACAACATAATCCTTTCCTAATCAGTCTAAAATTACAATACCAGGAATCGCCAAAGGATCAAGCTTCCAATACCCCTTAAGCTGATTGTCTCTCTCCCCTGGCAACTGAAAAGCCGGAATCTGATGAGAAAATCTAGCAACATCAGCCCTCGGAATTTCCATAAGACCAGTTTTAGTCCTTTGGCTTCTTGGAGCCCTGTAGAGTGATTGAGGTCCATTAACACATGTCAATACCACCACTTTCGTGCTCTGCTCATGATCTTCCAAAACTTCCACAATGTCACATTCACACTTATCCTGGTCAGAACATGTTGGCTCAGCGTTCCAATTCTTGTACACTGCCCATACCTCACCCTTCCTTGGATATATTTCAATTCTACTCCTACCAACAGATTCAGCTTTTAGCCGATGAGAAAAAGCAGAGGACGGTAAAATACCGGTTCTACCAGTTTTAACTTTAAATGCCCCGCAACAAACAGGCTGCCATGAATCTTTAGGTAGTGAGCAGGCTTCAAGCATTGACACATGCAATCTGAAGTAAGGGGTTGATTCAATTTTCTTAACTTGAGCATACCTCTTAGGCATCCTATCTCTATCATTATACAGCGCCCATATCTGATCCACCTGAAACTTGTCATCAGATTTTTCTGCCTTGAAATCATAGCATTCTAATTCAGCAGTTTTGCAACTTGTAGACCTCGGTGTAGAGGCATTAGAGACTTCCATTACACTGGCAGAGTTTCCGTCTCTTGGATGTAAATGCAGGTTTTCATCACACTGACTTGAGGAAGCATTTCCAATAGACTGAGCAATGTTGCTAAGTTTTTCATCCTTTCCAGTATCTGAAAGCTTGACATCCGCCTGGGTTGTGCACTGATTTCCATTTACTTGATTACTTTTCTTGCTCAAATCCCTAGGAGATTTTCTGATTTTTAAGGCATTCGTTGCACAATCATCCAGCGGCTTCTTAGGGGTTCCCATTCTCTCATCTGCTGAACATGTATTTCCTTTAGGCTGAGTAATCACAGATTGCACTTTACCTTCAGGAGACTTAGCACATAAACCATTTACTTCAGACTCCAGCTTTTTCTTTTCGATCTTAACATCACCAGGATCAACAGGCTTATGGAAGTAGGTCGGCAGGGAAGCAGGATCAAGCTCGAAAGATCCTTCAGGGACACCTTTCCTCTCCTTGCCAGTCATTCTAACTGAGGGAATTCGATGTGAAAATCTATAGAGCTCAAGTGGTTCTACACAAACTAAGAGAACCCCATTCTGAGCAATTCGCTGAAACAAGCTAACAAACCCTTTCACTTTGCCCAAATAGCCAACTCCAATGCCAGTATTCTCATTATAATCAGTCAATACTTCAACAAAGTCAAACTGATATGGGGGTTTATGCTTTTCTGGGTCAGAACTCCACTTGCTATCCCAATCTCTAAAAATAGCCCATGTTTCTCCTACCTTAGGATATATCAGGTATCGTCTACCAACACCTTTGATCAAAGTTATCTGATGAGAAAACATTAGAAGATCTTCAGTTTCTTCAATGCTCCCATTTATGAACTTACCACAAGCAACAGGGAGATCAGCATCACACCAGAAAATCTCATTTTCATCATCAGGATCAGGCTCTAGCCAAGTAATACGTAGCTTGAACCCAGGAGAAAAAACTTTCTTGATCCGAGCATAGAATCTTGGCATGCCATCCCATGTATCATAAATAGCCCAAACTTGATTAACAGCAAAACAGTTTTCTGTCTTATCTTTATCAAAATCAGTGAAATCTGCATCAGGATATTCGATTACACCTGGACTTACTGATACTTTAGAAATATCATTAACTTCAAATTTCTTGTCATCGTGATCAGCAATGTCTGCTTCCTTTCCCATTTCTTTGCCTTTCTCAGTTTTGCTTTTCTTATTTGGCAAGTTTTCATCAACAGAAAAAGTGGCTTTTTGTTTCAACTCTCTCTTATTTTCCTCAGCAGAAACAGCTGATTTATAATTATTAGATGACCCACCATGTACACCAGCCTCTTTCACCTCCTCTCCACTGGAATTAGATTGTTCACTCTCCTTTGGCCTCTTTGGAAGGCTTACAAAATCATCATCATCTACATTATCCTTGTAAGAAACATCTTGCTTTTGCCTTGCAGATCTTCTAACCTGTTGGCCTATACCAGGTCCAAAATTTTGGCTCGCAAGATTACTACCATTTTCTTGAACCTCCACATTCTGTTGTTCATCACTGTCGCCAACCTCATCACTTTCACTGGGTTCTTCAGCTGACTTCCTCTTTCTCTTCTTGCTTGAACTTCTTGAAGTTCCAGATTCACCAGCCTTTCCTACATTGGACTTTGGCATTCCACCACCTTCCTTCCCATTAGCTACATTAGGCTTGGGCCCTCTGACACCTTCCTTTCCATTTGCTAAATCAGGCTTGGGCATTTGTACACCTTCCTTCGCAGTCATAAAATCATCTATTTTCTTTTGGATCTTTGAACCCCCATCAACCTGAACAGCATTTCTTGCATTTGAGACAGGATGTAACCGTGTAGACTTATCAGGAACTTTTGTACCACAAGGCTTTCTACCATTACTTTGTGAGGCCACGTTAGAAGGCCCTGGATTTGGAAAGCCTTTCTGAATCCCAGAATTTGGTACATTTTGATTGGGGAACTGACTCCAGGTAAATCCTGGTGGCACACCTTGAGTACCCAAATCATAGGCTGTGAAGGACTGTTTGCAACTTTGACAACGTAATACCCTGTTTACAAAATTTCTGTAGTATTGGTACCTTATACCACAAGTGGTACAGCAAGTCCAGAATGCCTCCTGTGCATTTTGGAGAGGAGGCGAGCCTGTAAACTGCGAATTAGGAGCTTTTGGGATAGCATTTGCAGTCCCATACTGTGGATGAGGACCATTTGGAAAATTACTCGCAGGCCCATGTTGTTTCTTGATAAAAGGGTTCCTTTGTGACTGCTGAGGCTGAGGCTGAGGCTGAGGCTTGGGCACAGAAGTTCTTGCTGCTGCTCTAAACTTGATGTCAAATGCAGAACGTTTTATCTTGTCCGACAGCACCCTATGTGCTTCCCCAATCAGCTTGAAAGCTGACTCAGCACCAGAAAATTTGTTCTTATCTGGATGAAGTAAAAGAGCAAGCTTTCTATACTGCTTCTTGATGGTTATCTCATCAGCTGACTGTTCAACCTGAAGGATTCCATACCAATCCATATCTGAACCCAAAATTTTATTTTGTGCAGAACAGTGAACATCACATACTGTCAACATTTGAGAAACATTATCAAGCTCAGGGAAAAGTTGTTGAGCCTTGCGAGCAATCTTTAGTGCTGCTGAAAAGTCTCCTTTCTGCATCTTGCCTTCCGCAATTTGTTTTGCCCTTACGGCCTCATCTTTGTTGCACTCCATACTTGATTTACAACTCAACCAAACTAAAACAATTCCGACTCACTAAACTTCTCTTTCCCTGAATCCAGAATATTCACTAACCAAAAATCATCCAAAATCTTCTCCCTGAGCCAACATAAGTAAAAAAGGATTCAGTTATACTAATCCATGAATCTTTACTTATCAACTTAACATGACATGAGAGATGAAAAAAATTACACACCATTAAAGTGACTACAATCATGAAGATCTTGTGAATCAGAAAAGGGAATTAAGCAAACAAGACACAATGCGGTTTTCCTTCACTTCCGAAGCTGTCAAATTGACCCCAGTAATCCAAACAGCAATCCCTATCACACTGAAGGTGCAAACTCTAAATTTTACACCTGCAACGCAAATCAAAATCTGAAAAATCATTATCATCAACTGACTACGTGAAACCAAAAATAATCATTCTAGAATGATCCCAAAAATCCAATTCCAGATAAAATTAGACAAACCCATTCAAAATTAATTGAGAGAAAAGCTCCAACCACAAGCTCAAAAACCGCATGCAAGCACAACAAAGTTCAAGTTCTCAGTTCAAAAACCACATGCAAGCACTACAAAATAGCCCTAACACAAGAAAACACATATTGATTTCTGAGAAACAAGCACCTCAAACATATCAATCAATAATCTCAGTTTTGTCACAAGAAAAAAAATAAAAAAAAATAAAAAAATAAAGGCAACAAAAACGAAAACTAAATCAAACAATTTTGTGAAATATCTACCTCCTGACAACATAACTAAACCGAGCAAACATCAAAACACATAGCAAAATAATCAAACCAAAAGAGGTAAAAATGATAACAACAAACAAATTTAACAAAAATTAAACCCTAAATCTGAATCATTAAAAACAAAAATAACACAACAGCAAAAGCAAAACATATACAAACTCAAACAAGACACTGAAAACGACAAAGCGAACAACATACTCACAAGTCCAATGCAAGTCGGCGAAGGAAAAAGAGCAGTAAAGCCAAAGGAAAATTAACTGATTAAGATATTATTTTAAAAAATAAAAGTGAAGAAAACAAACCCTAGAAATTTGAAAAAGAAGTAAGGAGAGAACCGGAGAGAAGTAATGGGAATTGAAGAGACGACGGAGCGGAGTTGTTGAGTTGACAGTGAGTAAAAAGAAATGTTTGGAATCAGAGGGAGGGAAAATTTTGGGGAAGGAGGGAACGAAAAGGGAAACTGAGAAGCCCCTGGATTTCTCTGAAATTTTTTGGTTTTACCCAAATATTTTGGGATTTTTAAACTTTTAATTACCTTTTTTTTTTTTTTTTAGAAAAACGATGTCTAATAAAATAATAATATTAACAATGGGCCGCACTTATGGCCCAATTTATAATTTGTTGATGATCATATTGTTGTATTGATCCGATGATATTATTGGGTCGATAACATTATCGAAATCTTGTGTTGGTTAAAATAATATACGAATAAGTCATATTTATAGTCCAAAATGTATATGGCCCAAATTTAGAATTGATCATTATAATGGTCTAGATTCAATATAGTTGATAATAGCCCAAGCCATTCGGATTTGTTTTTAGGTTTCATGTAAAAGTTTTTAACCTAAAACACGTATACTTCTAAAGTGACTTGCTATTGAATTAAGTGCTTGTTTGTAAGCAAAGTGGAATATGATAAACTCATTTCCTTATAGGCCTTGTGTTCTTAAGTGGTCATGTCCTCATATCTTTTTTTTTTTTTTTTTTTAATGATCGGAGTGTTCTGACCAGTTTACGTACACCTCAACTAATGTTCATGACCTATTAAACACCATACAAACCCACTGTTTTATGGTAAGTCACAAATATAATAGGTGGTTTCAACGTGGTTCAAACTCAAAAAGTCAATTAAGTGAGCACACCTTCTTAATCTTAGACCAATCTCATGGGGTTAATGTCCCCATATCTTTTGGGTCTCATGTCCTAGAAAGGTCATGTCAAATTCAAGTTACTAAAAGGCCATATCCCTACTTTCATATGTTATATATATAGATTTATGCTATATCCACATAATTAAGATTCGGATTTTATTTCCCCACTCAAGAACTTTCATATGTTATATATATAAATTTACGTGGCATTAACGTTCACTTTTATATCATTTATATATCCTCAATATATTTATTTATTAAGTTGATTTTTTTAACATTTACTCTTTAAATCATTTTGTGTCATTTAAAATGATTTTTATATAAATTTTATAAGTTTAGTGGTATTCTTATTCTCATTAAGAAAGAAAACATTTTTATATTTTCAGATTTCAATGGTTAGATTGTTAAAAAATAGATAATTAATGGTCCAATTCCAATCGTATGAGAAATGAGATAAAAATAAAAATGTGATATCATTTATTTAATGTCCTTTATAAATACAACAAGTGTGACTTTGACTGTTCACTGGTGTCATATTTAATTTAAATATATATGTATTTAAAATTAAATACTTTATGAATTTTTGTTTACTTATTAAAATTAATTAAAGTTCAAAATATAGTACTTAATACACAACGTATCATTGAACTATTCAAAACCAATTGCTTTATTTTATATAGGTTTTTAAAAATTTCTAGAGAAAAGCCCATGTGTACGACGTATGAAATTAATTGAAGAAGTTGAAAGGTTGCTTTTGGTTTTTATATTAAAGCCACCTCAACTTTTGAAATCTAAATCAAAAGCTCATAGATTTCAAAAATTACACACTCACTTCCTTTTCCCTTCCAAATTAGAAAGTTAGAAAGTATTTAAATTTTTGGTTTGTTTTTTTTAATTTTAAATTTTCCAAAAAAACTTTGATAATACAATTTATTGAATTAAATATTTTTATATAAAATTATTTTGTAACTTATTCTATTTTTATGAATGACCCATTTTTATAGTCTCCATAGCTAGTCATTAATTATCAACTTATTAAGATCAAAGAGATTTTTTTCTCATAAGAGTTTGCCCTTAACTTTGCTATATCTTTATATTAAATGTGAATAAAAGAATTAATAACATTGGCTGAATTCTCTTACACTAGCAAAATTGTGATGACCCATGTTGAAATTGAACAGTAAAATAAAATTACTATTATACTAGAAAAAGTAAATTAATTTTAAATGACCAAAATTTATTCAAACAACAAGAAAGTTATTGATATTAGGGCGGACACTAAATTGGTGTGAATAAATAGTGTCACACCAAATTTGGTATAACACTATCCATCCACACCAATTTGGTGTGATACTATTCATCCACAACAAAACATATTTTATTTCTTTATTTTTGTTATTTATATTTATGTTAATTTGATTATTATTTATAATAATAAATTTATAATAATTATATAATTCAAAAAATGATGAAAAATTTAAACAAAAACTTTATTCAATGCAAATATTAAACTTTAATAGCTCAAAATAAAGTAACATTAATTTAAAAATACTAAAATTAATAGAAAACACAACATAAACTAAAATAATAATTTAGTATTCCGGTAGATTAGTTTTAGATCCTCTAAGATCATCAAATCAATACAGAGGCTCACCATGCTCTTTAAAATGCGTTAATTGATCATTTGTGGGAAGAATATATTAATTCAGAAAATTAAATTACTATCAATATTGTATTTTACTTTTGTGTTGTTGTTTTTTTATTTTTTGTGGTATTTTATATTAGATGTAATTTTTTTATATTAAATGTAAATTTTTATTTGATTTAATAAATGCTTAATTTTATTAAATTAGTATAATTTCCAAAGTTATTACTAATTTATAAAATATATTATTCCCTATATTTAATTAATATATACAAAATTAATTAGTAAAATTAATTAATTATTGAAAATTAATAGAAAAAAAAGAGCGAATATTGTAAAGAATATTCTTTTTGGTGTAATAGGTTGGAGTCTTGAAGATGCAGTACTGAAATGCTGTGAAAGTTGTACAATTTAGTGTTTGTGGTTGGAGATAGTCTTACCCTACTAAACTTTTCATTACCAAAATTAATTTAATAGGAGAGTCAGTTTTTAATAACATAAAAACTTTTTACATGTAAGAGATGCCTCACAAATTCTTTTAAATTATAATTTATAGTGTTAAATAATTTTTTTATTATAAATTTAAATAATCAAAATATATCATCTGACAATATTAAGGTAATTAAATATACAAAAACACAAAGTAAATTGCATAAAAGTGAAGTCTTACGGGAAGATAAAAGCAAATGCACAGTATAGGATACTTCGGCCTAACCCGGTTTACATCTATTCCTCCAAGCTCTCTCTCTCTTGGAGTATTTCGTTATCCCTTGGTTGTGAAGCACCAACTAAGAAGGCTTTACACTTACAAATAGATTACCATATTGCTATTGAACCTTTTTACTCGCTATGAATCGCTTTCTCTCGTTAGAAATACCTAGAAACTAAAAAATGACCCTCACTCTTTTATGACTCAAAATTTGACTAGAGCTGGGCATTTGAGACCGGACCCAAAAGCCCAGCTCCAAAACCCGATCCTAGAACCGATCCTTGAGAGGACCAGTCCTAGGAGGCTTGGTCCCAAAACGGGACCAGGCCTAAGGAGGAGGGCCCGGGCCCTCCACTGGGCCCTCCTCCAAGGCCTGAGCCTGGGCCCAATTTTTTTGTATTTTTTCAATATAGTCCCCTCCCTGCCAAATTACATAAAACCCCATATTAATTTTAAAATAAATATAAATTACGAGGGTTAAAATGAAATTTTATAAAATTTATTAAAAAAAAATCTTCCAAGTCCAAAAAATTTATAAATTTTACCCCTAAAAAATACTAAAAACCCCCTATAAAATTTTATTTTGCCCCCAAAATATAAAAAAAATTGAGGGGGGAAAATGAAATTATCCAAGCCCATGGGACCGGTCCTGGGCCCATGGGACCAGTCCTGGGCCCATGGGACAAGTCTCAACCAGGCCTAGGCCCTGGTCCGGGTCTTGGTTTTTCTCATGGGCCTGGGACCGGTCCCAGGCCCATGAGTGACTTGTCCCATTTGGGACCAGTCTCAAACGGGCCCAGGCTTGGGCCCGCAAGGGACCGGTCCCTTGCCCACCTCTAAATTTGACTAATACAAAAGTGAAAAACTCCCTCAAAGAGTGGGTAAACAAGCTTTAGCACAATACAACATAGTCTACATTATATGCAAATGAGTGTACAACAAGGGTATAGATTATAAAATGAATTAAACAAGCTTTTTGATTTTCATTGAACACTTTTGTGAAGATGTTTTTACAAGTTTAGAATGTCAAAAGTTGTTTTGAAATAGGTATTTTTGGGTTTATATTATAGAGCTAACAAATATAGTTGTTATTCCTAAAATTGTACTTCAAATTGCTAGACTTGGTCAACTACTTTGCCAATCTGATCGATCAGATCCGATGTGACATTGGCCGTACAAAGGCTCAACAACATCCGGTCTATTAGATTTAAAATCTGGTCTACTGGATTGCAAGAAATTTTTTTGAGAATACTTTTGCCTAATTCGAAAGACAAATCAGTAGCCAATTTGGTTAAAGTGCAAAGATTTAAGCCTATGATACACTTTAATCCCTTAACTTTAAACTCTAACAATTTAGTTGAGCCCTCATGTGTTTTGATGTGCCAAAACTAATCAAAAGATTGATTGAAATCTAACAAAAATGCAAAGGTATGACTTAAGTCATAACCAAAACAAAATGCACATTTCTTCAATTGAACACCTATTCAATTCAGTTGAACACGCGTTCATACCCTATTTAATTTTCCAAAAAGCCATACGTTCAACAAGGAACAACATCGTTCCTCATGCCCGTTCAAGGTTCTGTCAAATTCAAGCCAAAAGTGCTTAAGTCGTTCCAAATGGAACTAGCAAATCGAATGCTCGTTCTAAGTATATCTAGAGACTTAAGCAAGAAGGTTGAAGAACACATCTGGAGAAAGAACGATCACAATGAATAATCGTCCATCAAGCCCGTTCCATATGAATGACATAGTTCCATCCATTGTTCATGCTTATGGAATCTTGACACAAATTTGTAGTTAGAGAAGGAATGCCTGTTCCACGTGGTACAATGCCCATTCCAATCGAAGTCAAGATTTTCCACTTCAAAGTTTTGAGCTCAAATCAAGTTTTGGAATTCAAGTGTCAGACTTTAACGACCTCGACGAACGCCCATTCCAAAATTCATCAAAGATCATTCAAGAAGTCGTTCA